TTTCCAAGTTTACAATTTTTAATATTTTTATTTAACTTTAGCTCCAAAGTCGAAGTAATCTATAATTTACGAAAAGATATAAATCATGCTAATGTTACAAAAAGTAATTGATGTGAGATTGGCAAAGGCTGTGTACTTTTCTCTACTGCTATTTCACTGAGCTAGATGCTTCCTAGTTTACAGTTCTGCATCAAGTAATAGAATATTATTTATTTGAGAGCAAAGAGCCAATTTAGCGAAAAGGTTCTCTAATGTCAAGGTCGTATTGTGTTGTATGAATTGATAAAACCATTTATGTCTTCAGAACTGGGTGTTAAGATCTTTGAACCATCTTAGAACGACTCAAAACCCTTCATCGACGAACGTAGAAGAGTGCACGTAACTGTCACGCGCTGCAATATCTCGAGATGCGTTAATAGTACCAAATACCTGCGTGAACCTAGGCAACGAGCAATGTCCTCCAACCTACTGCTAGTCCTTTCTGATCTCTGATTGGAACGAAATAAACCAGTTATTAATTTTTTAATATATTTATTTATTCACGTTTTCAACAGTTAAACGTCGAGCAACACACATATTGTTTATATCTGTAAGAATACACACAGTTTGGTGTATCGACCCATAGGCATTGATCCTTGGCAAAACACTGCAACGGCTGCAGTGTCCCTGGGTACATTCGGATCTTGCCTAGATTGGGGGTTATTCTAACAATGCTATATGTAAAGAAGCAATAATGAGTAAAGTAATGCGTAGGTTTTACTATTACCGTAGTTATAGTCGTAGCCTGGATCGCTCTGACCGCAACAGAAGTATTGTCCATAGGCCTGATTGAATAAACATCGGTAACCCGGAGAACATGGTGTGTACATGCAATTCTTTACGATTCCATTGATTCGTTCTGGTTGATGGGAAGGATCGAGACAGAAGGCTGAAAATGACATTTAAAAGCATTGAAGAGCGTTTTGGCGCTTTATATTTTTTCTACGGTATGCACTGGATGCACTTTGCTTCACTGTATGTGAAAGAACAGTCCATAGTAAAGCTCGGTCAGACCAGATGACCTAAAAATGTGAGCCTCAGACAAGGTTCGTAAGATGAACTGATGAGCGGCCACTCCCACATGCTATAAAAATGTGACCTGATCTCACAGGTGAGCGTCGCACTTGCCGCGATTATCTCTCCTGATTTCCATAAGAGCAGCGTCGATTTTGGGATGATTTTAAGCAAATAGTGTGCAAAGCCGTGTCCCGTATGTTACTCACAAGCATGTTACGAGATCTC